TTTATGACAAATGGGTACTTTATGTTAATTAATGTATCGTAAGAATGTTTATTATGAATATTTCGTGGAAAGTGATTCCTATCGTTAGGTTATTTTTTTAGATTCTGTGCGGAGCGAGGAATGTATTAGTTTTACAATGATGTTTATTTCTTTTTCTTTTCCTTTTTTATTCTGTAAACATTTATYCTCCCTCTAAACTTGCTCAAAATTATCATGTGTAGCATCTTTTCTGAAAGACAATTTTCTTGAACTGGTACTTTAAACAGGTCATTTTTCGATATTCGAAATAAAAGCGGTTAAAAGAGAAAAAATTATGACTTCACGATTTCACGATTTTATATTAAATAATTACGGACGACGTTTTTTACCAGAAATCTTCCTTCAAATRAAAAATGACTAGAGACCTTTTTTATTTTATTTTGGATTTTAATTTTTACAGTTTAAAGTTCGGAAAATTTTAGCCATTTTTGAGMTATTTATAGACATTTTAATTTTGGGAGTTTTTTTGTTGTAATTAGGTTAAAAACATTCGTAAAAACTTGAAATTTGGGTTATTTACTTTTATTAGCCTTACCTAGACATGGTAAAATTTTCAAAACATTTTAGCGACTTTTTTTTTAAATCTAAGATTTTTAATAACCCATAATATGTCCTAGACAGATAAACCGTCTCCGCTTAGAATCGTTTTTTGTATACAATGATATAATATCCATTACAGTAACCCACTTGTAACCTACTGTACAGCAGAGTGACATCCACGACTTACCTGCTTTTTTTATATCGTTATGCATATAAGTACGATATTAAAATTAAACCATTGTGGGTATTTATTATGATTAAATATTTCTGTATTTGAAAAATACGGCATATTATGCAATTGCTTTATTATTAAAACTAAAAAATATAAATATAAACATATGACGTAAAGTATTTTAAGAAATAGTATAAATGTGTTTATTATTATCTATTATCCCGAACAAGGTAAAATTATTATATAATATTTWTTTTCAGATTCTTATTAATTATAACTCAAATATATTGCATCCTCAAACATTTCTTTTATAGATGAATACTGAATATATTATCATAGCATAAAATAATAATATTAGGACTATGACACGTATTGATATGGTCATATAAAAGCGTGAATACTATTTTTTAAGTTGTTGTAAATTATAATATTAATAATTAATATTTTTTTTTTTTTGATAATTTTATTTAGAGTCTATATTAAATAATACAATAAGTAAATAAAATAATTATAAAAGTTTTTTTTTTTTTACATGGAGTTYATATAATGAGAGAAAATACCATTTGATATTATTTTACAGTTATATACGAGCAGAATCACTAAAAATGACATTAACTAGTAGATAATCTGATTTCAAGTTTATAAACCATTATCAGTCTTTATATTTATATATATAATAAATATATTTTTTTAGTGATATTAAGGATTAAAATTATCTAGAGCATTTCTTTTCAGTCTTATTGTTGTATCAGGTATCTCGAGGTATATTGAGAATAGATTTGAAATTATTTATACTTTTTTATGAAAAATCATTAATATAATTTGTCAGAGGTTGATATTGAGTTAAGATAATTATTAAAAGTTCAATTTACTGTTCTGAGAGGGATATTGATTGAAATGCTTGTAGATATTTAGATATTTATATTTTTTATTTTCCCAAAAAATGGATTCCATAAGTAGATATAACTATAGGGATGAGTGTATATGAGAGTAGTAGCTTGTGTATTAATATTTTTTTTCTGAATTGATAGGTTTGATTTTAATAGAAGACACAGTTGGTGTAATCTACGATTTAAAGATCTCCATTTGTTTTAATGTGAGTTACCCAAATAAGTCATCTAACCAAATAAATCCCTAGATWTTTTACTGCTTGTTTAACTAGTATTTGGCTGTCATTGATTTAGATTGGRTTATACGGTCTCGGGGACGTAGAGTAAAAGTTATGTGGGACGATTTTGATTGATTTTTTCTCCACTTTATGAACAAGTCTTGAAATTGGTTAAGATGGTTTTGAAGTWGCAGTGATGCAGTTTCAGAATTTATACATAAGAGGTAATAATATCAGTATTATCTGCTAAAGTGCCAAAAGTCGTACCATAGTTTTGTGGAATATCTGAGATGTAGATGTTGTATAGAAGTCAGCATGGATGCTTCCTTGAGGAACTCCAGTGTTATTTGAATGGTATTATTCACACGAGACTCTAAAAGATCTATTGCTTAGAAAAGATTGAATGATTAGGTAGTAGGAGGTTGGTAAGAATCTGAGTTTCTAGAGTTAAGGTGCCAGACAAAGTCAAATGCCTGAGCCATGTCTGAAAATAATTCTGAGCAATAATATTTTTTTTTTTTCAAAGACTGATGCATTTTAATCAACAAATTGACATAGTAAATGTATGGTTGAATGTCTGTATTTAAACCCAAATCGAGRATTAACATTTAAAACGATAGTCGGATGATTCCTATTCAAGGTGCAAATGAATGATTAAAAATATTTTATTATTTGTTTTAGATTTTTTTTTTTCAAAGTTTCACGTGGCATAATATTCATTCGTAAATTGCATTGTCGCGATTATTTTAAATGTTGTAGAATAAAWTGTAATTCACCCGCGAGTTCATACCTTAAAATATTACATTAGGAATACACGACTATACAATTTAGAAGCACTACCATGATGTCATATATACTACAACGGCCATATTTGATGTGTTCATTTATTTTATGTCAACACAGTCAAACATATTACGGTCTGATATTGAGTTCGATACATATGATATCATAGAGTTATGGACATATATACGCTATATTAGACATAAAATCATATAAATAATAACGTATTCGTATTGGATAAATAATAATATAATGTCATCTAGCGTATAGTGTCAGTCTGTCTCGGGTCTCCTATGTATATAATACCGGTATAAAAATAATGTTTCCGTCAACTGCAATCTTTAAAAACAAATCGCAGCATCCTGGTATATAATAGTTTTATTGGGTTTCATGTTCCGACGACGATATCTCGTTAACATTAACTGATATAAATTTGACACGTTCAAAACATGTTTTTGAAGTCATACATTATAATCAGGGCTAGGATTTGTATGCAACAGCATGTTTTTTTTTGCGACTTCTGAATATTTATTTTGTCAGTAATGTCCACGAAACACCTCACAATGAGATAAATGATGGTRTTTTTATTTTGCATTATTTTGAATATTTTGGATAAAATGCATATTAATGCATATATTGAATAAAATGAATATTATTGCATATTTCGATCATAAGAATGCGAAAAATGCATGTTTTATAGTATATTTCGTAATTAATATTTATAATTTAATATAATGATATTAATATTTCGTATTTAATTCTAGCTCTGCTGATTAAAGTATAAAACTTGGTTTTTTTGTCAAACACAAATTTTATTTTTATAAATACAATTCTATGGTACAATAGGCATGCGATTAAAGATTGAATAGTTTGACGGAAAAATATAAATGCAATCAATAAAAGTATGTCAGTCAATATAAAATCTAAGATAGAAATTAAAATGCATATTTTGGTAAATAAAATGCATATTTCACAGTTTTTTATTGCATACAAATCCTAGCCTCGGTTATAATATTATTAATATAATTACAACGTCCGAACGATACACTATTATAACGGTGGATGCGGTATACAGGCGCAGTTCATTGTTTTTGAAACGAAAACAATAAGGAACTAATATTCTATACATATATTATAATATCAAATGTGACGTATTTTAATACATAATATATTCCACGTGGTTGTGAAAATGCCGAGTATGAAAACACTATGTGCCGGAATAATGTTATTACGACATTAGATCCCGCGGACGCCTGGTGCTGTGGAAACTTGCCTTAATCACCATAATTTGTTAATAAAGGATACCTGGTGGCTGGTATATATAGCGAAGTTATGGAAAGGAGGGTCAGGGGTGTGGAAAATGTGTCGGAGGAGCAAAGGAACGCGGGTCACCGACGTCGTCGCCTCGCTCTGGCGCACTACCAGCCCAGTGCACCATCAAGATACCTTATGTACCTCTATAGCTGATACCTACGCTTGTTCCAATATTATATACGTATATGAGGTAGGTACCTTCTGTTGTAATAGTGTTGTGATCAAATACGCTAATTAAAACGTTCGGTGTCCTCTCATTTCAAGCATACGGCAAAGGTAAAACCATATTAGTGGGCAGTCAACTGATGATGATGATAGCAGCAGCAGTCACTACAGTAGTATTATAGTAGTAGTAGTAATAGTAGTAGTATTAGTAGTAGTATATTAGTAATCATAATAGTGGTGGTTTAGATAATTATTTAGATAATTATAATATACTTTCTAAGTATCTAAATATTTGAAAATACAAAAAAAGATCCAAAAATAGGCCCACTAGTATGCTGAATCTTATAAGGATGTGTATGAAAATGATTAAAATATAAAAAATCATTTCAGAATATTTTTTAATACCTAGTAGATTCCAAAAAAAGTAATTGGTGTTTAAATAAATATATTTTTTGTAATTATCTTAACTTAATTTTTAAAATAAATATCAAATAATAATAATATTAGATTTTATTTTATCAGTAGTATTGTCTTCTTTTTATAATCACCATTTTAGTTCTAAGAATAGAATAACAATCATTTATCCAAAACATATTTTCTTAACACATTTCGCAACATACGATTACATAATCACATTATTACCGAAAACCATGGTACTATTTTTCATTCTTAATTTTTCTTAATATTTCGTTAAAACCCTTTTAAGAAACCCTGATGAAATATTCTATTAAAAATATAACCAGCAACGACGACAAATGTTGACCTAACATTTCGTATCAATTCTTGGCTTTAGTAACTCTTTGAGCCATATCTCGTCTACAATATTATAATATAACGTATATTTCTATCATAGATATGTTCATAACGCATAGTGAGACTTACCTGAAAATAACACCAAACACAGCACGAAACTCCACCTTATCAACGATGAATACATAGTCTAGCAGTAGTCTCCTTCTCTTATTCCGCTTCTGAAATACAATCACAAAATGCAATTAAATAAATTTGSTATATCTTGGCTTAAGAATATTAGTAGTTTAGTAGTTTAACATCCCTTTTTTGACCTTTCTAGACCCGCCTGGACTTATCTTAAACGCCCACAAGTTTAGTTGACGATGTTTAAATATACTTCGGTCTATGTGTTTTGAACACGTGTACCCTTGCGTTTTGAATAAGTATTGTATACTAAAGTGTACTGATAAAGTAAAATTACCCGTATAACGTTATCTGTTTGTTTATCACAATATATCCTAATCACTAATCAAGATTTTCAACTATTATTTTTCATTGTGATTTGTGATTAAAAGTAATATTTTAAATTTTAATAATTAAAAATAACATATTTTCGCATTAGATGACTATTATACTTATAGGTTTAGTAACAAAAAAATGTATTGTATGAATTCAATGGTTTTTTAACCTGTTGATACTATATACTCCATTAAATAAAATTATATCCCATTGTAATAAAATTATTGTATTAGTTCATTTAAATTCACTTTTATGGTTCAACGTATTTGGGTGTGGAGTTGAATTTTTCATTGGCCATATTCATTGATTATATATATATATATTAGTATCAAATCAATGGTATATTTTTCTGATAATGTTATTTTTTTTAGCAAGCGTTCATAATGGGAAATGCATTTTTTAATAAGGTTATATTTTTTAATTTTAATATCTAATTTGAATTTCACAGTGAAAACTATAGTCATTATAATTTCAAATTTAAATTAAAGTTCACTAAATACTAAGCCACCATTATTCTAGTCTTCAGTGGTATTTATAAGGCTGGACATAATATTATGGAACTACAGTAAATAATAAGTAAATATTTATACATTCATTTTAAGCCATACTAACATACTTTAACAATTTCGAATCTTAAATCACTAAGATTTATACTAATTTATAAGTATTGAAGAATAATAATTTATGTAACAATATTATCTTAAAATATAAAATTGTACAATGCGTTTACTAAAGAAATTTTAAAAGGAAACATTTTTATTCGATTATTTTATAAGATTACTAACAGTGATTACTTAAAATGTAGAACTGTGATTTTTGAAAATTACACAATATATTTATACAATTACCTAATTCAAGTTATTACTATTATAAGTTTAAAATACATATAAAAATGGCATACCGGATGACTACCCATAATTTAATTGCATAATATAGGGACCAAATAAAATTATTGTTATAAGTGATCACAAAATATTAACCGTATAATTCGTATTGTTGATCATTAATATAATGATTGATAAACGTAAAAAAATTAATATAATTTCGTATAAAATTAAGTAAATTCTTATGGTAATTTGTGTAATTCACAAACAAAACTGACTTTGATCTACGCAAAAACATCGCATTGGTATGTCCATTAATAACATTGAATCATTTGGGAATAAAAGTGTAAGCACATCGTATCTTATAAAAAAAGTTTGACACTCGATACATACAGTTCAGTAATCTAGTTTAGTAGTATGATAGAAAAGTAACAGAACTAGGTTTTTATGCTTTGAGATTATTCAAATTATTTACGTTTTACGAACAGCGTAAAAATTTAAATTGGCCTTCAAAATACGTCCTATTCTTTCAGGAACTATAAATTGTTTTTATTATCATAGGTTAAAAGTTAGATTCCACAATATTAATATAAACTAATATTTCTTTATATTTTGAGTTGAAATTTTCGTGATCAGTTATTCCATAAAGTGTGTTAAAAAATATTAAATAGTTTAAAAAAAGATTTGGCAATATAATACATAAATAAATAAAGTTTGTATACATAACTAAATTTAAAAAATAAGTCGTTTATTTTTATTAAATGTTTTCATAAAATAATAATATATTAGATACGTACGGGACACGGATGTATATATTTGGTGAGTTATTTTTTACTGAGTGGATTTTAACTTCTTTATGTTTAAATCAAAGTATATTATTTACTATTAGTATATCTACTAAWACTAAATTTGTTGAATTAAATCCAATAATTTTAAACAATGTTACAAAGTCTATTAATGCAAATTTATCGAGTTACATATTCAAATATCACGCCTATACCAGTACGTCATATAGTTTTAATATTGGTACTCACCAATTGGTTATTAACTATTAAGTAATATTATAGATGAAAAATTATAATGTGTAAATTATTATTTTGTTGATTGATAAACGTTATACCGATGAGTCGTTTTTTATTTTGTGCACATAATAATAATATACGTGTAAATCGTATTATATACTTGATTTAAATATGCATTTCATTCGTGATTGACTAAATGTCGGGTTAGGTATAATATTGACATTGTCTAACGCTGTAACATATGAAAATATAAATCCTTTTGGATGGCAAATACCTGCCCAATTATCATTAATTCCGTTATCAACAAGAATTATGTTAGCATACAACACGTCACATGTTCCATTATATTTTATCCTTTTACACACTTTGTACTTAGCTGCAAAATATACATCTTTTCAGCAATATTTATTATAACATATACCTCTAAATCAATTCACAACTCCAAAGGCCACAACAGGTGAGGTTAAAAATTTGTTTGTGATGTTTGTTTTTATGAAAAAATTTCAAAAGATTATTTTTTTTTTTAAATTTAAATTTAAGCCTCAACAACTAAGGTTATTGACTAACATTAACATTAATAAAGATACATTGATACATTATATAAGGTTATAAAGTTTGGTTCTTTATAAAAATGATATAATGTTACTGTAGTTTTCATGACTGGGTCCAAGTGCTTTATATATAGATGGTCCAGAATGTTTAGAGATGTTCTGGCATCGGCGMAGTTGCCGCAGTGTAAAAATATGTGTTTAACAGTAAGATATTCCCCACAGGTTAAGCAATGGGCAGGGTCTTCACATCTCACRAGAAAGATATATGTGAGCCACGCATGCCCAATTCTGAGTCTATTGATAGTGACTTTGTGACGTCTTTTGGTGATGGGTGCTGGCCAAAGGTTGATAGAAAGTTTTATTTCGTTTAATTTTGTCTGTGACGATGTCCAACGTAGTTGTCACTGTTGCAGTGTAAGAGACTGTATAACTTCCTTGATGCCATTTAGAGAGCAAATTTGCACTAAGAAAGCTTCAAKAGAGTTTATAGCTCTTTTATCATAGATTTCTGTTGTTTTGTAGCCAGGGATTCCGACATGGCTAGGAATCCATAACAGCGTCACGCTTTGATTGTTGGGATTTAARAGGGAGATTTGATTTTGAATCATTCTGGATATGGCATTGGGTTGATTTATGTTGCCAATATGTTTATAGAACTAAGAGAGTCGCTTAATATGAGCACTTCATCTATTTTTTGGTGTTGAATTATTTCGAGTGCGAGAGAGATCGCGWATGCTTCTGCAGTGTAGAAAGAGATTATTGTTCTACGTACAGATTGGCTATCCATTTAAAAATATCGCAGTGTTTGAAAGACTATTCTTRTATTCATTAAGTTCATTGAACTCCGTGGAGAGCTGAATATATTTTGTATAAATAAATAATATGATAAATATAATTGGAATTGACTAAATAAAGTTCAAARCTCTTGCTTGAGAAGTATTATGGGTTATATTAGATCGTCTCCTCTCCCAGCAATTGAAGTGGAATAATCGTGTCCTCCTTTTAACATTAGATGTCGCTGGCTTGCAAGTAAGTTTATTCTAAAATCTTTATCTTATTCTAGCAGTCCCGTCTTTGATTTATTTCATTCTCTATTCTTAACGTGGCGTTACGTCTCCAAAACTCTACCAGTTCTTCTTTTGGTAACTAACTCAATTTCTCCTTTTCATGAATAAATTTTAACCAATAATAAACACCTCCTATATGGGAAARAGTACGAAGCTCTTCTGTATCCCGCTCAGGTCCATTTTCAGATCCATTTTCAGATTTACCTCCTCTGAGCTTAGAGTTACCTTTCATGTTATTATTAACATTTTTTTTTCAGATTGTATTGTAAACAACTTTGTGGACTTCATTGTGGTTTATACAGACGGTTCGGTTTCGTCTCTTTTGGCTGGTTATTCATTTTATATCCCCAAACTACACATTTCATTTACAAACAACCTACTACTTTCCTCATCTTCCTTTACTGCTGAGTGCTTCGCTATTATAGAAGCCCTCAATTGTATCTCTTCTTTCTCAAATAAAAAGTTTTTAGCTGCATCGGCCTCAATGTCTTGCCTCCAATCTCTCAATTCCTTTTCTCTTCATTCCCATCTATCTCCATCAATTCTTCGTATTAAGTCTATTATTTTTAGACTTAGCCAATTTGACTTCAATATTCAGTTTCTTTAGGTTCCCAGTCATATGGGAATTCAAGGTAACGAGTGCGCCGATTCCTTAGACAAAGCTTCTTCAAATTTTATTAGTCCTTCTTTTTCCCTAATCCCTTGGTCAAATTTTACCCCCTTTTACGACGTCATTTTTTAAACTATTGGTCTGTTTACCGGCACAACTTACCCGCTAATTTTGCTTCCAGATTTAAATCTATTGTACCCGATATTACCAATGATATTTAGTTCAATAAGGTACGGCTGCCTAGATCCTCTATTATATAATTTAATCATTTAAGTAAAGGCCATCAATTATTACCCTCACACGCTTATAAATTAAATTTAAATGATTCCTTTTTTTCCACTCTGCATATGGATAAACATATTTACGATTTGTCGCATATTCTCTTCGATTGTCCCTCTCTTTCTATTAAGCGTCAGAGCCTAATTACTCCTCTCAATTCTTTGAATGTTTCTTTCAATCTCCATTCCATTTTAATCTCCAACTATGAACAAGTCATTATTATTTCTTTTATTCAGGAGGCTGGCTTTATTATCTGAGTCTTTTTGTTTATATAATTTATTATATCTTTAGCTAATCATAACTTAATTTTACTATTATTCAATTGTTTTCTTTTTTTTTTCTACTTTTTATATTGATTGGTAATATTCTAATGTATTGTAATTTTTGAGCTAGATTTAAAATAAAAAGCTAAAAAAAAATATGATAATATTGATAGTACATTATACCTCCCAATCGTGTTTTATTTTTCAACAACACTATATATATATATTGTGACAATACTATTTTACAACTCCGTTGTTTTTAAATTAAATTGTTTTTTTAAACATGTATACCTGTTATATTATTATCAAGCACGTAATTTTGATGGAATAAATAATAATGTACATCTGTGTTCGTAACTTTTTACGGTATTTATTTACTAATAATAATGGGCTACGATACCTATACCTACATCACGACAGTTGTGAACTTAAATTATTCAAAGATAGTTCGGTTAAAATTGAGATTTWTATTTTATTTAAATAAGTACTATTTTTTCTGTATTAAAAAAAAAGTAATATTGTGATGAAGACCATAAACTGAATACAAGATTTGAATATTAATAAATAAAATTATGAGAAAATTCCAGTATAATATCATCACCACTAATCTATTTTTTATAATCGAAATTTAAAAATACGAACTGTAGATTTACATCCTCGCGAATTCTTTGTTTAAGTATTACATCATAATATCATACAAATCCAATGCAATCTAAAACAATTATTTTTTACTGTTTAAGGTAATAAGTATATACAAATATATGATTTTACTTGATTTTGTTATCATATTATTTATAAAGTGTGTATAAATTTAACTGTTAAAGAACAAAAAAATATAGTTATTTATTAATTTATTACACAAGATGGTTCATTAGGGTAGATTTGATCAATGATCTTCCCAATTTTCCTTTTAATTATGCATTTATTCAAATTTCTGATTTTTATAGTGTCAAGTATACTTAAAACTTTTGACATGGTTACTTTATACATTCATATACCTATTTAATAAAAGTATATTTTCAAAAAAACCAGCAGATACACAATTTACAATAAACAGGTTATTCTTCTTTTTAAAAAAAAAATTTGTATCACTAATCAGTGGTTCAAACAATTAAAATATTTTGAATTATAACCTATAATTATGAATATTATAATTGTAAGAATCATAATTTAATAGATCCAATATTGAACTAAAATAGGCGAAAAGTTTGGTGAATAACTGTATACAGAGTGTACCATAAATATTTGAACAATTTACATTGAAATTAGATTATTTTTAATACATGGAGTTAGTACACTCTTAATTATGTATATTTTTAATTTAGCGAATCAATAGTATAATAATTAATACATTTCAGAGATGTCGAGTTTATTATACATTATTATATATTTAGTTTATTATTAGTTGTATAAAGTAAAAACACAAAGTTATGTTAAGTTTTAAGTATAATAAATTATTTAAGTTAATAAGATACTGGTGTGTACGCAATGTTTTTCATAAAGAAGCGGGGTTCAATTAAAACTAAGGACAATCATATACAAGCCTCACGCACAACCCCGTCATCAAACTTACCCGTGTGTAGATTTAGGTGCAAGAACAAAGTAAAGACGATAAAGTGTGCCTCTGAGGGTCGTGATGTGAAAATACGCTCACTAATTTTCTGATATGTAATCACTAAAAATAATAAACAAAATAATTGAGTTAAAAGTGTTTTAAGTTTTATAAATGTAATTTAAATATGATCAAAACTAACATTTACTTATATTTGCATAATAAAATATACAATCTCAACCGACTTAAACTTTTATAATATTTTAAATACATAAAATAGAAAGCACTTTATAGTAGAAGAACAAAATATTATCATTTGATTATTATATTGATTTTCATACACATTATATATGTTTTTTTGGAATCCTTATTATACATACGTAAATGTATCTTAATAAAGAGTTCGATTATAATATAACCAGAAGGATCACTATATCACTATACGAAAACTTGAAAATTGTAATATTTACGTGATCACTAATTTTTCGTGGGTATTAATTAGCTTGAATATTAAGATATTATTGTAAAAAAAAATCAAATTGTTTATATTGTAGGTATATATTGTAGGTATATTTGTAAGACAGAGGTTACTAAACATATTGGTTAGATGTCTTTTAAGATTTTTATATTCAATGAACCAAACAGTTCCAATATACGCACAATGAAAATTGGTCAGATAAAAAAAGTAATTTTTTCACTCGACTTCCATCACAAATAAAAAAAAACATTCCGTATATTATTATTTGACTTTTTTCTCCTTGTTTCAAAATTCTCAAAATTCATTAGGAAATGGATTTTTGTAATTTTTCCACTTTTATCTAAAATAATATTTCCCAACGGTCCGATAAAGGATTGTTTGATTTTACCCAGATACCTATAGTCACCTATATAAGTATAGCTCAATTCCGAATTTTATTTCGATTTTCACAAAACATCATTCTGATCAATAGTGCCAGTCACCACATTTTTCAAGTGAAAACCTTCCAATAAGTGTCAACTTCAATGAAAGAAATACTTGTTTTTCATATCATTTTAATATAATATCAATTGCTTTGATAGACCTGATATTATTTTGTATGTATGACGTAAATCAAAATTGTCATAACTAAAATAGTTAAAATGACATTATATATTATTCTTAACATTCTCACGTCTAATAAATGTTTAATTAATCATTTATTATGATAATTATTATCCAACGTCCGGTGTGTTTTTTATAATACTCAATTAATTTTAAAACTAAATTTACATTTAATATAAACCAACCAACATAGTTAACTACGTCGAGATCAAGATCCATGTGATTATATTGCCGTTTTAAAAATAATATTTTATGTTCAAAATTCAAATGGTGTCTATCTATTTTCTGACAGTTGCTCTTGAATATAAAACTATATTTATTTTTTAATTTTAATGCTTGTATAAATAATATTTATTTAAAAAAATATATACACAAGGTAACTCAACAAGCACTTACGCACCACCTTCCGTTTTTACATAAAGAATTTATTCAAATTTATATTTTTTCAATTATTAAATATTGACTAAATTTTTGAATTCTATGGACTTGTTGTAGGAGTAATTTAATGAGATAAGCGTTTGTTTCCTTTTTTTGAACTAAACTATTTAGGTGTAATTTTTTTTTAATTGAATACCTAGTCCTTAAAAATGGTTTTACAAAAAAAATAAATAGTAATAATATTGGATCCTGTATTTATTACACTTCGATCATTAAAATAAATTATATAAATCAAAATATCCACTATACTAATATTTTTAAAACACCATAGCTCACATATCTACTAAACCATAACATAACCATTCATGGTCCTATTTGGCTATTATTCTTAGTAGGAGTGAAATATACAAAGTTAAATAACACAACTATACTATTTGTTTGAATTTCGATACATATTGATTTGACACATGATTCGATATTCGATTCTTTACAATAATATATTCAGAAAAGTAACAATTTAATAATTTAAAGTAGGTAAGTTTTCATTTGAAGTATAGAAATTGGATTCCTAATAGTAAACTCTTCAAGTAGTATGAAAAATTCAAAAACAATTTTAATTTTATGATCATTAAATATGTCTAAAGATTCCAAAAATCGCATTTTGAATAACTGCATTGTTTAAGAAAAGAAAGGGTGAACATACCTGTCTTGTGAATCATTCTGTGCTTATTTTTCTTTTATAATTTATCAAACCTTCAAAACTGATTAAAATTATAGTTATATGGGAGATTTAAGCAACATTTAACTTAATGCACAATTTAATAACTTATATATTATTATTATTTGTGTGTTCAATACTTATTAAATATTCATCACATAATCTAAGGTAATATAATTTTATAATCCATTGTAAATAATTAAAGAGTATGATGATTGATAGAATAATATTATATAGATTCGATAGGTAATAATAAACTTTTTCGTGGTTTTTAAATGTTTATAAACTTTACAGAGTAGTAGAAATGGACCAAATTGTCTAATAAAATACCTACCTTCTTTTAAACAGAATCTTAACTAAGTCAACAATTGTTTAAACTAAGTTGTTAAAACAGGTTAATTTCTATTACGGTATTCCGAACCAAACATACGCTGTTTCTACACTTTTCTTATCTATTCTTATGTAATTTGTGATGCAAGCAAAATACTTTATATTATTATCAAATTTAATAAAATTGAAAAATCAAACTTCATGAACGATTAGAATACCTAACCTATAATATATCATCGATCTCACTATTATTTTTGTAAATATCAAATATATATATATATATTATACATAACATTGAAAGAGTTATTCCCAATTTATAAAATAATACAATCATAATAATAATTAATAATATGTTATTAAAAAAAAACTAATGCCCAGTAAAATAAATTAAATCAATACCCCGATTGTAATAATGTAAATAAAATGTCCAATTCATATTTCTATTTAACTAATAATATACTACCTATTAGCTGTTTTAATGGTTTTACTGTAAAATGAACTATTTTATTTTTAGTATTTTATTAGAATGTTTAAAACCTGCTATGGTTATAATTAGTAATATTTATTATATCTAAATTAAATTGTTTAGAGGACAATTAATTTCATATAACTAAATAGTATTAAAAAATAAGCCTCTTAAAGTCTTTTTTTATATTGATAAACTATACGAACTATTTAAAGAGTGTAATAATAACAAATCATTAGTTACCTCTTAATTAAAACCTTAAGCTGTTCTTCTTTGACGTATAATCAATTATAAATCTGTTATCTTGATTCAATTTTTACCTTAACATTATAAGTAAATATCCTTTAATTAATTTAAAATAATATTTAAAATCTTTAAACATAAGCGTACAGAAGGTAGGTACTATTTATCCAACGAAGTCAAGAAGGAAATTCGCAATATGAAATATCCTAGAATCTTTAAATTTAATTTAAGGCAAGCGGTAATTAAATAAAATTACGATATTCTTGTGTAAGCAAATAGGAGAATGTGAAAAATACTTCAAGTTTTCACAATTTCAAACCATTAATAATGACGGTAATAAATAGAGTATTTACTAATTTTATTCGCATTTTTCATAAAAGAATTACAGTCATTAAAAAATCTGATAACTACTTATGCGTTAGAAAAAAATGTCTATATCCAGCCGAATGGTTTGTAATCCAATAACGTATGAATTTTTCATTATTTAGAATTAATTCCAACCACTTTTTTCTACCTTTCGTATAGTTATTTCCGTTTCATTGATTGGCTGTCAAATGGAATTTGTTTGAAACGTGAGTATTTTTTGAACCAGCTATCTAARCGTATTCTGTACATCAGTACTAGAGTTCCATAGCCATTTCATAAAGACACTGATTCTATATTTAGATTCACGTAGTCAAATTTACGTAATTCGATACGGTTGTACGCACATAATAACAATAATATATTAGGGAATCATATAAATTATTTTCTTTTATCGCTATTCAATCTGATCCATACAATTGTTTTTCTGTGGATTTAATTATATACTTAAATATAAAATAAAATTTGATTCGCCAAGATTGCTCCTTATATATTTTCTTCAATAGTAAAGTTATTCGTCATTCAATTTTTGGAATTTTAAATTATATTTTCAAATTTTTGAGATTTTTTGTACTACTTAGAGTTGCCCTGTTAGGTTATAAACTTCTGTTCTTATGATATTTTAATAAAATATTTAAATTATACGTCATGAATAACTAATTATATTATTGTATTTAACATTAATTTATACTATACACAATTCAGTAGATCAAATATAATAAATACWAAATCCAATACTAGAATATATTTCTTTGAATTTTGCACAAGTATTTTGAAGGACTATTATCTTTAGTATAAACGTTTTAATGACTGAAAAATTACACGTTCAAATTTTTAATAAGATACATCCACAATTTTCAAAAAGAAATCCACTCATCAATTTATAGGAATTAACTTGAGTTTTTCATTTTGTTTCAAAACCACTCCTTAAGTACAAAGTATAAAAATAAAAAATAAGATTATGAAAAAATAGTCTATGAGTTTATTTAAAAATTATAAAAATCAAAACTTGAATAAATTAATTTCAAAATTAACTGGAGTCACCGTGGTCGGTGAATCAACCTGTGTAATATATTATGTATTTACACATAACAAATGAATTGTTCAAAAACATATGGTACTGTGTCTGATGTAATCAGTCGGGAATCGTAACTTTCCTTTAAAAGTAGTAATTGTAATTCGTCGATCACATGAGCTGTAGAACGAGAGGTACCTACAACCATTTAAACACAATTGATTGGTTCTCAATAGATACCGGAAAAGATGCTCATTGTATTGCAAGAACTATAAGATACATTCTAAGAGGGAGTAGATGAGCGGTGTGAGGGRTGTAATGAAACGAAAAAAATAAAGTACGAACATTTCTCCTTTTTATCCCAAATCTTATGTTTATAGTGTATTTCAAGCCTTATAAAAAGACAGAACCAATTTGTCGTCACATTACCGTCCACTCTGTAAAATAATGTTTTGACAGTTTATACACACGGAAATCCTGATAATAAAAATGGATCTTTAATGCACCTTATACGGAACTCAACTTGGCA